ACAGAGAGAAACAGAGAGAGAGAAAGAGAGACAGACAGACAGACAGACAGAGCACAGCAACAACAGTAGCAACAACTAATAGTAAAATCTTTCCACAAACATATTTTAGCATTTTAGTGTAGGCCTACTGTTTAGCTGCAATATGAGATTGTGTGTGACCAGTCGAGCCGCCATAGTTCATGGTGACATATATACACCATATATATATGATATGATATATCAAGGCTTGCTCAACTATTATTGGAGAACAGACGGACATAGGAATGGTCAATTTGCTGCACTGGAAGTTTTTTTTCACATTTTGTAGTGACGTGCAACGGTAAGCGTACTGAGTCATTTCCGGTTTACTTCCTGCTCCTGTGTACAGTGTTTGCTGTTGTAGCTCTGTCAGTTAACGCTAAATATAAACTTAATTTACTCGTTACAGCGGTTATTTACCCGCTTAACGATTAAACGTAGACTCGTTCTACCTAAACACTCGGAGCTACTTCCTTTCTTAGCGACTTTTCGCTAAAAAATTACAAAGTTTTCACACACGCTAGCTTCATTAGCATTAGCAGTTAGCGATGGCTTCTCCCTCTTCCTCTCCTCTGTCCTGCTCAGTGTGTCAGATGTTTAGTTATTCCTCTGCCTCCTTTAGTGATAATGGTACATGTATTAAGTGTAGTTTATTTACTGCGCTGGAGGCGAGGCTCAGTGATCTAGAGGCACGGTACCGCACCACAGAGCTATCTTTAGCCGCAATAGTTAGCCAGCCCCCAGTAGTCGGTGCGGGCCGACCCAATGTAGCTTCTGTTAGCCGTCCCCCGGTAGTTCCCGAGCAGCCAGGGAGGCTGGGTGACTGCTCGGATAAAGCCTAGATCCAAGCCCTCGGGTCACCACCAACAGGTTCATGTTAACAATAGATTTTCCCCACTTAGCGACACACCCGCTGATAAACTAAGTCTGGTTATTGGCAGTTCAAGAAACGTGACTAGACCTGCTCTATTTGAAAAGTGTCCTGAGATAACTTCTGTTATGAATTGGCGCTGTACAAATAAAATTGAATTGAATTGAATGTGTATGGATATATATACTAGATACCTGAGTCTGCACTGTAGGTGATGACGTAGCCATCTACGGTGGCTATGGCGGGCTGCCAGAGCAGCAGAGCTTCAGTGTCTGTGATGTTGACTGCAGTCAGACCACGGGGCTTATCCAGAGCTGTAACACACACACACAGTCAGAGTGAGTTGACCATACTATGGACAGAGCTATTGTGTTTGAAGGAAGCATCTCCACCTTGAACACAAATGACTGTAAAAGTGTTAAACAGAAAACATTGTCACAGATTCATTTTAGTTAACTTTGCTTTTGTACTTTTTACCACCATATATTTTTTTCCATGGGCTGTTTTGGCTTCAATGCAAAGAAAGTTATAACATTATCAACAACCTGCCGAATCGAGGCACAATATACATTTTTATATCTGGCCTTAATATAATTTACGAATGTGTGTGTGTTGTAGTGTCCGTTCAACATTAGTCTTACCTGTGGTGATGCTGTCTGATCCTGGCTCACTCTCCCTTTGACCCTTGATAGAGACAACAGTGACCTCATATGTGACCCCAGGGGTCAGGTTGGGCAGTACAGTCTGAGACTCGGAGCCATCCACTGCCAGTGTCTTATCATTACCTGAGAGTCATCACAGCACATGTCAAAGAGCATTTAGATAATTCTCTCAGAGTTCACAGTATAACCTAAACCTAAATCTAGATTTTTGTGTAAAATTGTGCTAAATGTTTTAAAGATTCTAATGGATTTTTACCATGAATGGTTTTTCCATATTTGTGTTACTAATACACATAAATAAGCCTACAATGTGTCATTTGTCATATATCATTTTATAAAGTAACTTCAAATGGTTGACTCTATATCAGCATTGGTCTTGCAATGTTTAGGGTAATTTAAAACAATAGAAGGCATGTTGAAGCATTTTCAACCCAAGATTTTTATAACTTGTCAATACACCAGCACTGATGTGTTTAGTCATGTTTGTTGTTTTGCATGATTTTCTCTGATTTGCTCCAGACCTCTTAGTCCCTTATTCAGAAGAAAAACCTGTGCGATCACTAGAGGGCAGAATCACTCTATCATTGGACAGAAAAGTTTGCTCTGCAGATGATGAGGAAGAAACTCATCGGTAGGTCAGTGATGATAGAGCAGTGAGAGGGAATAAACACCTACTGATTTCAAAATCAGCTTATTGGAAAAAGTCTAAGAATTACATTTTAAAATGTCTTTTTCTTGATATCAACAGGTATGTAGTTGATGGTAAAACTATTAAAGCTTATTGGGGGGAATATATTTCTTTTCCAGTTCAACCTTTTCTTGAATCAAGTGACAGCGTAGCAATAAGTGGCCAGATCTTCCCTATTTCAGTAGTGAAGAGTGTCATACATGAGGACACTGACCTCCATGGGCGGGCACATAAGTGACCCTGTAGCTGTCCACCCGAGCTCTTGGAACCACCCAGTGAACGGTGGCCGACGTGTCGGTGACATCAGAGAAGCGGATGCCCTTGGGTGAGCCCAGGTCTGGCACAAACAAGAAAGAAACAGCAGGTGGGGGCAAAAACAGACAAAAAAACAGAAGGTTTAGTCAATATGTGTACTGCCTTTTTAGGACTGGACACTGAACATCAATAAATGCACAAAATTGACAAATAGTGAGTTTTTTCTGCTTTAAATTCAAGCATCAGACAGGAAAATACACCCACATATAGGCAGAGTAGATCCACCACTGAAAGGCACATATTTTAGAACAGAGCAAAAGAGAGTAAGAGAGAGCGAGGTAGACAGACAAAGGGGGCCTGGGGAGGCCCGGGCTTGTGGAAAGACCCTTCCCAGCTAACAGCGAGCCACAGTATCTTGCGTGACAGACCTGAGGAGATTAACTTGCCCCCATTTCATGGCAAAACAAAAGTGAAACATGCGCCACGCAACCCAAGAGTAAAGCCTTAGCCCCAGGGAGGACAGGGGACACAGCCACCCGTTCTATGTGACACAGATAACTGCACCCCCCCACCCCCTACCCCCACACTTTACAAAGAGCAACTCTGACACATGGGACCAGGCAGTCAAAGACAAAATTTGGGAGGACAACCGGACAGAGACGACACAATGAAAGGAACACAGTAAAGAGCAGAGGAAATGTCCTGAGTGGGGATCGACTGATATGAGTTTTTAAGGCTTTTCAGATTTTTTATTTTTTTTTGGGTTGAAGCTGCTATGCTGATATTCCATTTTGTGCAGATATTCAGCCTCTTTAAAATGGACTATTCTGAATAATATACATTAAAGGATGAGTAAATACCCAAAACAGAATTTAGACCATAATGGGAGACTAAATTTCCTACAAATTTGTCTGGCCCACTCATCTCACTTACACTCAAATACAGTAATGCATTATGGTCCACATGTGGGCCAGATCTGGTAGCCGCTTATGGCTCTTAGAGCAGACAAGTTTCAGTACTGGTTCTAGTTGTCAACTAAACCTTAACCAAACCAATCTATTAATACACACAATCCCTCCAGGATTTCACTGGCTTTTTCTGGGATAGTTAGTGTGCCTGCAAAGCACACTACTGTTATTGCTCATACTTAAACTTAAACTTAAACTTATTCTTCTGTACGTTTTTTGGTCGACTACTCCTCCCGCAGTTTTGGTCGCACATACACAAAAAGGT